CCTGCCCGCTACACGTTTGCCGGCGGCCCTGGCTGAAGGTGAAACCTTAATTCACTGTTCTGTTTAGTATGTCTTTCTATCCCCCGGGTAACAGCAGAAATGCTGGAGTGGTATTGTTGGACAAAGACAGACCATGTTTTCCCCCCACTGTGATGATGATCTATTTGAGATTCTTCAAATAGCCACCCTTTGCCTTGATGACAGCTTTTCACACACTTGGTATTCTCTCAACCAGCTTCACCTGGAATGCTTTTCCAACAGTCTTGAAGGAGTTCCCACATACGTTGAGCACTAATCGGCTGCTTTTTCTTCACTCTGCCATCCTACTCATCCCAAAACATCTAAATTGGGTTGAGGTCGGGGGATTGTGGAGGCCAGGTCATCTGATGCAGCACTCCATCACTCTCCTTCTTGGTAAAATAGCCCTTACACAGCCTGGAGGTGTGTTGGGTCATTGTCCTGTTAAAAATAGTCGCACTAAGCCCAAACCAGATGGGATGGCGTATCGCTGCAGAATGCTGTGGTAGCCATGCTGGTTAACTGTGCCTTGAATTCTAAATAAATCACAGACAGTGTAACCAGCAAAGCACCCCCACACCATAACACCTCCTCCATGTTTTACGGTGGGAACTACACATGCAGAGATCTTCCGTTCACCCACACCGCGTCTCACAAAGACACGGCGGTTGGAACCAAAAATCTCAAATTTGGACTCCAGACCAAAGGACTTCATTTCCACCGGTCTAATGTCCATTGCTCCCGTTTCTTGGCCCAAGCCGGTCTCTTCTTCTAATTGGTGTCCTTTAGTAGTGGTTTCTTTGCAGGTCTAAGGCACTGCATCTCAGTGCTTGAGGTGTCACTACAGACCCCCTGGTTCGATTCCAGGCTGTATCACAACCGGCCGTGATTGGGAGTCCCATAGGGCGGCGCACAATTGGCCCAGCGTCATCCGGGTTTGGCCGGTGTAGGCCGTCATTGTAAATAAGAATTTGTTCTCAACTGACTTGCCTAGTTAAATAAAAAGAAAATACAAAAATGAAGGCCTGATTCACGCCGTCTCCTCTGAACAGTTGATGTTGAGATGTGTCTGTTACTTGAACTCTGTGAAGCATTTATTTGGGCTGCAATTAATGAGGCTGGTAACTAATGAACGTATCCTCTGCAGCAGAGGTAACTCTGGGTCTTCCATTCCTGTGGCGGTCCTCATGAGAGCCAGTTTCATCATAGCGCTTGATGGTTTTTGCGACTGCACTTGAAGAAACGTTCAAAGTTCTTGAAATGTTCCGTATTGACTGACCTTCATGTCTTAAAGTAATGATGGACTGTCATTTCTCTTTGCTTTTTTGAGCTGTTCTTGCCATAATATGGACTTGGTCTTTCACCAAATAGGGCTATCTTCTGTAAACCACCCCTACCTTGTCACAACACAACTGATTGACTCAAACGCATTAAGAAGGAAAGAAATTCCACAAATTACTTTTAAGAAGGCACACCTGTTAATTGAAATGCATTCCAGGTGACTACCTCATGAAGCTGGTTGAGAGAATGCCAAGAGTGTGCAAAGCTGTCATCAAGGCAATGGGTGGCTATTTGAAGAATCTCAAATATAAAATATATTTTGATTTGTTTAACACTTTTTTGGTTACTACATGATGGGGTGGTTAAGAGCGTTGTGCCAATAACCGAAAGGTCGCTGGTTCTAATCCCCGAGCCGACTAGGTGAAGAATCTGTCGATGTGCCCTTGAGCAAGGCACTTAACCCTAATTGCTCCTGTAAGTCGTTCTGGATAAGAGTGTCTGCGAAATGACTAAAATGTAAATGTAAAAATGATTCCATATGTGTTATTTCATAGTTTTGATGTCTTCACTATTATTCTAAAATGTAAAAAAATAAATAAAAATAAAGACAAACCTTTGAACGAGTAGGTGTGTCCAAACTTTTGACTGGTAGTGTATGTCAAAGCGGAATTATGTTTCCAGAAATTGTTACAAATTCATTAACAAAATTACGCTGAAATGTCGTGAGTCAATAAGTATTCAATCCCTTTGTTATGACGAGCCTAAATAAGTTCAGGAGTAAAGATTTGCAAGTCACCTAATAAGTTGCATGGACTCACTCTGTGTGCAATAATAGTGTATAACATGATTTCTGAATGACTACCTCATCTCTGTACCCGACACATACAATTATCTGAAAGGTCCCTCAGTCGAGCAATGAATTTCAAACACAGATTCAACCACAAAGACCAGGGAGGTTTTCCAATGCCTCGCAAAGAAGGGCACCTATTGGTACAGTTGAAGTCGGAAATTTACATACACCTTAGCCAAATACATTTAAACTCAGTTTCACAACTCCTGACATTTAATCCTACTAAACATTCCCTGTTTTAGGTCAGTTAGGATCACCACTTTATTTGAAGAATGTGAAATGTCAGAATAATAGTAGAGAGTGATTATTTCAGCTTTTATTTATTTCATCACATTCCCAGTGGGTCAGATGTTTACATACACACAATTAGTATTTGGTAGCATTGCCTTTAAATTGTTTAACTGGGGTCAAACGTTTCGGGTAGCCTTCCACAAGCTTCCCACAATAAGTTGGGTGAATTTTGGCCCATTCCTCCTGACAGAGCTGGTGTAACTGAGTCAGGTTTGTAGGCCTCCTTGCTCGCACACGCTTTTTCAGTTCTGCCCACACATTTTCTATAAGATTGAGGTCAGGGCTTTGTGATGGCCACTCCAATACCTTGACTTTGTTGTCCTTAAGCCATTTTGCCACAACTTTGGAAGTATGCTTGGGGTCGTTGTCCATTTGGAAGACCCATTTGCGACCAAGCTTTAACTTCCTGACTGATGTCTTGAGATGTTGCTTCAATATATCCACATAATTTTCCTTCCTCATGATGCAATCTATTTTGTGAAGTGCACCAGTCCCTCCTGCAGCAAAGCACCCCCACAGCATGATGCTGCCACCCCCGTGCTTCACAGTTGGGATGGTGTTCTTCGGCTTGCAAGTACCCCCTTTTTCCTCCAAACCTAACGATGGTCATTATGGCCAAACAGTTCTATTTTTGTTTCATCAGACCAGAGGATATTTCTCCAAAAAGTACGATCTTTGTCCCCATGTGGAGTTGCAAACCGTAGTCTGGCTTTTTATGCCAGTTTTGGAGCAGTGGCTTCTTCCTTGCTGAGCGGCCTTTCAGGTTATGTCGATATAGGACTCGTTTTACTGTGGATATAGATAATTTTGTACCTGTTTCCTCCAGCATCTTCACAAGGTCCTTTGCTGTTGTTCTGGGATTGATTTGCACTTTTTGCACCAAAGTACGTTCATCTCTAGGAGACAGAACACGTCTCCTTCCTGAGCGGTATGACGGCTGCGTGGTCCCATGGTGTTTATACTTGAAGACTATTGTTTGTACAGATCAACGTGGTACCTTCAGGCATTTGGAAATTGCTCCCAAGGATGAACCAGACTTGTGGAGGTCTACACATTTTTTTTCTGAGGTCTTGGCTGATTTCTTTTGATTTTCCCATGATGTCAAGCAAAGAGGCACTGAGTTTGAAGGTAGGCCTTGAAATACATCCACAGGTACACCTCCAATTGACTCAAATTATGTCAATTAGCCTATCAGAAGCTTCTAAAGCCATGACATCATTTTCTGGAATTTTCCAAGGTGTTTAAAGGCACAGTGAACTTAGTGTATGTAAACTTCTGACCCACTGGAATTGTGATAACAAAGTAGATGTCCTAACCGACTTGCCAAAACTATAGTTTGTTAACAAGACATTTGTGGAGTGGTTGAAAAACGAGTTTTAATGACTCCAACCTAAGTGTATGTAAACTTCTGACTTAAACTGTAGATGGGTAATAATAAATAAAAAAAGCTGACATTGAATATCCCTTTGAGCATGGTGAAGTTATTAATTGCACTTTGGCTGGTGTACCAATACACCCAGTCACTACAAAATACAGGCGTCCATTCCTAACTCAGTTGCCGGAGAGGAAGGAAACCACTCAGTGATTTCACCATGAGGCCGATGGTGACTTTAAAAAAGTTACAGAGTTTAATGGCTGTGATAGGAGAAAACTGAGGATGAATCAACAACATTGTAGTTACGCCACAATACTAACCTTATTGATAGAGTGAAAGAAGGAAGCCTGTACATAACAAAAAAATATTCCAAAACATGCATCCTGTTTGCAACAATGCACTAAAGTAATACTGCAAAGAATGTGGCAAAGCAATTAACTTTTTGTCCTGAATACAAAGTGTTATGTTTGGGGCAAATCCAATACAACACATTACTGAGTACCACTCTCCAGATCTTCAAGCAGAGTAGTGGCTGCATCATGTTATGGTTATGCTTGTAATCGTTAAGGACTGGGGAGTTTTTCAGGATAAAAAATAAAACGGGATGGAGCTAAGCACAGGCAAAATCCTAGAGGAAAACCTGGTTCAGTCTGCTTTCCACCAGACAATGGGAGGTGAATTCCTCTTTCAGGAGAACAATAACCTAAAAACACATGGCCACATCTAAACTGGAGTTGCTTACCTAGAAGACAGTGAATGTTCCTGAGTGTCAGAGTTACAGTTTTGACCTAAATCTACTTGAAAATCTATGGCAAGACCTGAAAATGGTTGTCTAGCAATGATCAACAACCAATTTGACAGAGCCTGAATAAATTTGGAAAGAATAATGGGCAAATGTTGCACAATCCAGGTGTGGAAAGCTCTTAGAGACTTACCCAGAAAGACTCACAGCTGTAATCGCTGCCAAAGGTGCTTCTACAAAGTACTGACTCAGGGCTGTGAATACTTATGTAAATTAGATTTCTGTATTTCATTTTCAATATATTTGCAAACATTTCTAAAAACATGTTTTCACTTTGTCATTATGGGGTATTGTGTGTAGATGGGTAAAACACATTTAGAAAATCATCCATTTTGAATTCAGGCTGTAACACAACAAAATGTGGAGTAAGTCAAGGGCTCTGAATACTTTCTGAAGACACTGTATATCTAACAGGACACAGTGTGGCAATACTACAATAGAGATCGAACTCTCTCTCTGTTTATCTATATAACAAAACATCTGTAAAAAAGGGATGTTCCTACATCCTAGTAATGCTTTACACGCTGCTGAAGAACTTGTAATGGCTGAACATTCAGTTGTTTGGTCAAAGTGTGTGTGTGGAAAAAAATCTACTGTGCTGTAGAGTAACACCACCCTGTGGCATAATGGTGTACTGCAGTAATACTTGTGGATCTGGATGAATCTCTTCTAGATACAGCATACAACAAAGAAGAACTTGACAATCTAACACAAAACATTGTAGCTATACATACAGTATGTTTTTATTGCAATATTTGACAGCAAATGCCAGCTTGTGGTATCTAGATGTGTTGTTGACAACATATCCTTGAATGAATCTTAAACATAGCTTGATTGCATTATAAAAACTCCACAGGTAAAAACCCAAATCATTTATGTGATGAAGAACAAAAAGGACTAACCTAACCAAGCAGCCCAATGCCTTCAGACCGGTCTATTGGTCCATCATCATCATCATCTGTGCTGCTTTGAAATCCCAAAATGCACAGCACCATGATATCTACAGTGAGATTCACCCACCTAGTTTTGCTCTTTCTCATTTGTGCTCATGAGAGAAAGTGGAGGAGTTCAGGTTTGGGTCGGTGCCGAGGTGACAGTTGATGGAGAGGCTGAAACACTGTCGGGGGAAGCTGCCGTCATCGTGGTAATGGGCACTAACAGAGTTTCAGCAGGGCGCGGGACTGGTTTGGCGATCTTCATGGGGATGAAGACGTTGGAGGCACAGTGCTCGCTCAGATACTCACCGCCCTTTTCCTCGTAGTCCTGCCGGCTGATCCAGCCCTCCCCGCCAGGGGGGTGCTCCAAGGCCCAGTCCCGAGCCCCGTACCAGGCATCCACCGCAGGCCGCGACGCCATCATCACCTGGAGAGGAGAGTCAAAACAGTGGTTTACTATGCTGCTCACCTAAGTGTAATATGGCCCTCTCCTTATAACCATATTGTTTAAATTAAGACTTGTACAAGTCACTGAGTATTTATACCACTGGTACATAATATTATTGCCCAACTTTGTACCAACATTAACCAATATACAGTTGAAGTCAGAAGTTTACACACACCTTAGCCAAACACCTTAGCCAAATTCCTGACATTTAATCCTAGTAAAAATTCCCTGTCTTAGGTCAGTTAGGATCACCACTTTATTTGAAGAATGTGAAATGTCAGAATAATAGTAGAGAGAATGATTTATTTAAGCTTTTATTTCTTTCATCACATTCCCAGTGGGTCAGAAGTTTACATGCACTCAATTAGTATTTGGTACCATTGCCTTTAAATTGTTTAACTTCGGTAAAACGTTTCGGGTAGCCTTCCACAAGCTTCCCGTGCTAGCACACGCTTTTTCAGTTCTGCCCACAAATTTTCTATATGATTGAGGTCAGGGCTTTGTGATGGCCACTCCAATACCTTGACTGTGTTGTTCTTAAGCCATTTTGCCACAACTTTGGAAGTATGCTTGGGGTCATTGTCCATTTGGAAGACCCATTTGCGACCAAGCTTTAACTTCCTGACTGATGTCTTGAGATGTTGCTTCAATATATCCACATAATTTTCCTTCCTCATGATGCAATCTATTTTGTGAAGTGTACCAGGCCCTCCTGCAGCAAAGCACCCCCACAGCATGATGCTGCCACCCCCGTTCTTCACGGTTGGGATGGTGTTCTTTGGCTTGCAAGCATCCCCATTTTTCCTCCAAACATAACGATGGTCATTATGGCCAAACAGTTCTATTTTTGTTTCATCAGACCAGAGGACATTTCTCCAAAAAGTACGATCTTTGTCCCCATGTGGAGTTGCAAACGTAGTCTGGCTTTTTTATGGCGGTTTTGGAGCAGTGGCTTCTTCCGTGCTGAGCGGCCTTTCAGGTTATGTCGATATAGGACTCGTTTTACTGTGGATATAGATACTTTTGTACCTGTTTCCTCCAGCATCTTCACAAGGTCATTTGCTGTTGTTCTGGGATTGATTTGGAGGTCTACATTGTTTTTTCTGAAGTCTTGGCTGATTTCTTTTGATTTTCCCATGATGTCAAGCAAAGAGGCACTGAGTTTGAAGGTAGGCATTGAAATACATCCACAGGTACACCTCTAATTGCCTCAAATGATGTCAATTAGCCTATCAGAATCTTTTAAAGTCATTACATCCTTTTCTGGAATTTTCCAAGCTGTTTAAAGGCACAGTCAACTTTGTGTATGTAAACTTCTGACCCACTGGAATTGTGATACAGTGAATTATAAGTGAAATAATCTGTCTGTAAACAATTGTTGGAACAATTACTTGTGTCATGCACAAAGTAGATGCCCTAACCAACTTGCCAAAACTATAGTTTGTTAACAAAAAATGTGTGGAGTCATTGAAAAACAAGTTTTAATGACTCCAACTTAAGTGTATGTAAACTTCCGACTTCAACTGTAAGTTAAATGACACAACTGTGTCCTTAGGAGCAGTAAATGGCCACATACATAGACGTTTACTATACCTGGAAGTGAGACTGGAAGGGCCTCATGGCCAGCAGCTCTCTCTCTATTCTCTCCTTCATACCTGGATACTGTAGGTTCCCTCCCGTCAGGAACACGTTACGGGCCAGTGCCTCCTGCTGCTCAGGAGTATACCTGCACACAGTCAAGTCATGCAAACTATGATCAACCTCTTCAGCTACTATTTTAATCAAGTTCCAGTTATTGTGGCCATCTGCGTGTTGCTTTTATTGAATTTACATTCAAAAAGCGAGGAAATGTGCAGTAGATTACCTGGCTAAGACATACTGCAGAGTCTCCATCATGCCCATCTGGTCCTCTCCTATCAGCGACGGCTGGAAGAGGATCTCTGAGACTCGCAGGCGCTCCGTACCCACAAACAGCTGGTGGTACTCTGCCATGTTAAACACCGGCTGTGGGGAGAGGAGTTTGTCAACAGGGCTAGTGGAGCCTCCATCACAAGAGGTTTATACACAATCTATATTTCGTTCTGTATGAACGTTGTTCAGACTTGTGTTTATAGTGCCTTCGGAAAGTATTCAGACCCCTTGACTTTTTCCACTTTCTGTTACGTTACAGCCTTATTCTAAAATGGATTAAATAAATAAAATCCTCAGCAATCTACACACAATACCCCATAATGACAAAGCAAAAACAGGTTTTTAGAAATGTTGTTTCCATTGATCCTCCTTGAGATGTTTCTACAACTTGATTGGAGTCCACCAGTGGTAAATTCAATTGATTGGACATGAATTGCACACACCTGTCTATATAAGGTCCCACAGTTGCCAGTGCATTCAGAGCAAAAACCAAGCCATGAGGTCGAAGGAATTGTCCATAGAGCTCCGAGACAGGATTGTGTCGAGGCACAGACCTGGGGAAGGGTACCAAAATAATTCTGCAGCACTGAAGGTCCGCAAGAACACAGTGGCCTCCATCATTCTTAAATGGAAGAAGTTTGGAACCAACAAGACTCTTCCTAGAGCTGGCCGACTGGCCAAACTGAGCAATCGGGGGAGAAGGGCCTTGGTCAGGGAGGTGACCAAGAACCCGATGGTCAGTCTGACAGAGCTCTAGAGTTCCTCTGTGGAGATGGGAGAACCTTCCAGAAGGACAACCATCTCTGCAGCACTCCACCAATCAGGCCTTTATGGTAGAGTGGCCAGACAGAAGCCACTCCTCAGTAAAAGGCACATGACAGCCCGCTTGGAGTTTTCCAAAAGCCACCTAAAGACTCTCAGACCATGAGAAACAAGATTCTCTGGTCTGATGAAACCAAGATTGAACTCTTTGGCATGAAACGCACCATCCCTACGGTGAAGCATGGTGGTGTCAGCATCATGCCGTGGAGATGTTTTTCAGCGGCAGGGACTGGGAGATTAGTCAGGATCGAGGCAAAGATGAATGGAGCAAAGTACAGATAGATCCTTGATGAAAATCTGCTCCACAGCGCTCAGGACCTCAGACTGGGGCAAAGGTTCACCTTCCAACAGGACAACGACCCTAAGCACACAGCCAAGATAACACAGGAGTGGCTTCGGGACAAGTCTCAATGTCCTTGAGTGGCCCAGCCAGAGCCCGGACTTGAACGCGATCAAACATCTCTGGAGAGACCTGAAAATAGCTGTGCAGCGACGCTCCCCATCCAACCTGACAGAGCTTGAGAGGATCTGCAGAGAAGAATGGGAGAAACTCCCCAAATACAGGTGTGCCAAGCTTGTAGCGTCATACCGAAGAAGACTCGAGGCTGTAATCGCTGCCAAAGGTGCTTCAACAAAGTACTGAGTAAAAGGTCTGAATACTTATGTAAATGTCTTATTTCCGTTTTTTTTTTTTTTTAATTAGCAAACATTTCTAAAATCCTGTTTTTGCTTTGTCATTATGGGTTATTGTGCATAGATTGATGAGGAAAAAAACAAATGTAATCAAATTTAGAGTAAGGCTGTAACCTAACAAAATGTGGAAAAAGTCAAGGGGTCTGAATACTTTCCGAAAGCACTGTATACCATTAAAATAGTAGAGAATATTTATTTACCTGCACATGCTTTTCTGTCTCTGCATTTTCCTCGCTGAAGTCTGGATCCATCTCTGTCACGCCGTCCCCTTCGTCCATTGGCTGCTCCATTTCTGAGGCCTGACAGAGGGAGATTTCTTACTTGTCAATAAGGGTATTCAGCAATTCATGTGACACGGTGATATGTTGCCATAGTCTAGGCTGTTTTGAAAGAACTGTTTCGTTGGACATTGTTGTCATCCTAATGCAATGCTATTGTTAGCTAGCCCCTATGATCACCTGCAAGAGTCGCTGCCTGCCCTGCTGCACCACCAGGCTCAGCTTGTTGATATAGGACTGCAGCTCCTCAGCAGAGTCCATGTTCAGCTGGACCAGGTTCTTATGGAACTGCTCCAGGTAGCCGTCCTCCAACAGCTCCTATGCACACGACCAAACACACACACAGGCAACCTCAATGGATAAGACTGGTGGTTAGAATGTTAAGGAAAGCTTTAAAGCTTAGGTCTATATGTGAAATGTGGTGGTTTAGGGGAGAAAAGGGGAGCAGTTAAGGTTCATGGTTGACCAAGTGGTTCAAAGGTAATGGTTCTTGCCTGCACTGACAGTAGTTTATCCAGCCGCTCTTGGTCCTGCTGCAGCTTCTCCTCCCTGCGCCGGGCGTTGATCTCCTGTAGCCTGCGCAGCTGCTGGGTGCGTCTCTCCTGCCTCTCCTCCACACTCACCACGCCACCCAGCCCCTTGGCAGAGAAGGGCAACTGCATGCGGTGCACCTCCTGCTCATAGAACTCTGCACTGCGCCACTTCTCCAGCTCTGAGAGACACCGAGAGAGAGAGTCAGGAAATGAATCACATATAAAGCAAAGCACCACAATTCCTGTTTCATGTCATCTCACTACATCTCTCTGGCCCCATGGCAGGCAGACCTTGGTGGTAGTCTGTGGCTGTGTAGCTGTGTTCGTGGAGCAGCTCCTCCATGCGGCTGAGGGTGACGCCAGCCAGGTGACCAGGGTACTTCAGCTGGAGCAGACGCTGGAGGTAGGAGGCCGCCTGGTTCCCTCCCACGTTCACACGCTTACAGTTCCCTGCATCCAGCCTGGGGAAACACCAGAGGAAATGACGTTACAAGGTGTGTGGCATATGTTAAAATGGCACAAAGGCCCTGAGCAATGGAGCAACAGGAGCAGCTGCACCACCCACTTTCAAAATAGGGATGCAAACGTACAGTACGTTTTTGCACCCCCACTTTTTTACGAGAAAAGTATAAAGATCCATTCGGTAATTTGTCATTTTCAGTGATAAGTAATGTTTTGAGCTAGTCTGTATTATAATAGATACATCCGTTTTATATATGATATAATAGTTAACAGATTGCATTTTGCACCCCCTCCCCCGTCGCCTCAAGATGAATGGTTTTGCCCACTGGAAAGTTTTGCTTCAGTGCAGTTAGAAAGCACTAGCTGCACCATTTTTCAAATGAAAAGGCACCTGCAAAATAAAATTGTTTATCTATTTTGTTGTTACATTTGCATTGTTGTTTCATGTCCAGTGGTGTTGGTCCATATAAATTGAGCTGCGTGCACCACCAGCAAATTCATTGTATCTTTTCACTTTTCCTGTACGAACCATGATGAGCACGGCATGTCTGATTAGGCTTCTCTGTATCACGGTCTTCCATCAGCCTACCAAAGGTTGCACATTAGCAGAAAACTGCATGTCCGGTACCTCGCGGGCTGTCTTTGAGTAGCTTGCAAGTAGATAGTGAGAAATAATCAGTAGGCCTAATATTACAGGCATTTAACACCATTCTGCATTTTTACCATCTATTTTCCCAACTTCAATCAGTTAAATCACATTGTTAAAATATTTTAATTCAGTTACAAAAGTAACAGTCCTGGCTGAGCCCCATAGTTGAGCGCACCGTGGCCACTTCGTGGTTACAATGTAGCCAAGCTGTGACTGTATGCACCAAATGAAAAAGCACAGGATATTTGAACCTCGATAAAACAGCTCTGTTGGTGGGCAAAAGGGGGCTAAGCCCCCTCCGTTGAAACTTGTGCCATCTCAGTTTAAGTTTTATGTTCCTATATAAAAAGAGCAAAAAAGTTCAAATGATTGCTTGTAGGGCTGTCCCCGACCAAAGTAAATCTTGGTCGACCTAGAATCGTCTGTTCTTTCGACCAATCGATTGGTCAACATTTTAAAACTTGTATTTTAATAAAATCAACTATATGTAGGCTACTGAGCTTGTCTGTTGCTTTAAGCACACTGTGATTAATACACTATATATACAAAAGTATGTGGACACTCCTTCAAGTTAGTGGATTCGGCTATTTCAGCCACACCTGTTGCTGACAAGTGTATAAAATCGAGCACACAGCCATGCAATCGCCATACACAAACATTGGCAGTAGAATGGCCTTACTGAAGAGCTCAGTGACATTCAACGTAGCACTGTCATAGGATGCCACGTTTCCAAGAAGTCAGTTCGAATTTTCAATTACTCAGGAAGTTCAACAGATCATCAAGGAGGCTGCAACTCTTCTGAAAAGGTAAGAAACAATTTAGCTGGTGATTTTGATCAACATCTTGGTGGTATAGCCAGTGGTGTCATTCTCAGCAAAACCCTAGGGTATAGAATGGCTAAATGACTTATTTAGCCAGCCTATATTTTCGAAACGACCTTGCTTAGTGTGTAGGGCGCTGTTCATGGTGCCGATAGAGTACCAACCTGTCACTTCTTGGTCAAAAGCACTCAATGGTCTCGGCATTTGAACTTTTATGTTTATTGTGGTATAGGGGGATATAAGCAGAATTCAATATAATTCCAATGCAAGAACCCAAATAACGCCCTGGTTATAGCTACATATCGGTATGTTTCATTATAGAAATATATAACCATAGAAATAGAATGTAGGCTTTCTTGGTAGCCTATTGCTTTTCGTGGCTGTAAATGGAACTGTGCGTATTGGAAACGTGTTTATGGTAGGCCGGCATTGCTTAATTGATTGAGTGGGTGGGTCGAATTTGATCCACAGAAGTGTATTGTGCCGTATCGCAACGTGTTGCTGAACTCATGAGCTGCATCCATGTTTGAAGCAGGCCTACAGGCCTATTTATTTGGCAAGACAGCTGTGCATGGCTGCATCTCACTGTAGTAGGCTGTAGGCTATGTTTTGGTTATTTGCATTTGCCTTTGTTTACTGTGTTTTTTTGTTTACTGTTAATGTAACTAGCCTAAATATAGATTGTACTATGCCTTTATCGATCTGATATTTCGTTATATGCCTGTAGTAGGCCTACCACTGTTCTGTTCTGTTCACATTCATTCATTTGCATTTGAAGTTGTCGGTATTCTAAGCCAAACTGCTATTCAGTACTTTTGTTTTGCATGAATAACTAGGCTACTACTTTCAGCATTTAGTTTGCATTATTTTGGTAAGACAGCTGTGTACGGCTGAATTCACATAAGCTGTTTGTAATAGGGTAATTTACCTATCCATCTGGTAGCCTATATTCATTTCCAAAATGGCCTCGCTTTAGTGTGTTGGGTTGCTGTCCATTGTGCTGACACAGCATAGCGGAGATGGGCTATAGATTTTGCAGCAACCTGTCACTTCAGAAGCTCTCAATGGTCTCGGAATTTGAACTTTATGTTTATTGTGGTATAGCATGATATAAGCAGAATGCTAGAACCCAAAAAATGATTTCCCCCTCACCGATTTCAACTGCACCCTTAATCACTTTATCCTGCCGCCGGGTCTGTCTGCTTGGCTTGGTAAGTAATATCGACTGGTAAGTAATATTACTTACCAAGCCAAGCAGACAGACCCGGCGCCAGGACAAATTGACTAAGGGTGCAGTTGAAATCGGTGAGGGGGGACAATTTCTACCCTCTTTGCATCAAATATGTATGCTGCTGAGACAAGTTCATTTTAACTTGTTGGTTCTTTCCCTAACTACTCTAGCATGACAACAAACAATAGAGGAGTCTGCTAAATACTAGACAGTTCTGGCTACCTGGTTGAGTATGAGTGGAGTCATTAAAACCTCATGTTACTGTGTAGAATCTTACCTTCCATTGATAACGGGTAGGATGTGAGAGCAGTGGTAGCCAGAAGAGAGGACAATGCCGGTGTGTGGGGGTGTGAGGTTGCTGAGAACGTTGTTGTAGTAGAGGCTGTACAGGCAGTCCACGCCATAGGACACATGAGGAACTCTGTAGCACTCAAAGAGCAGCTCTGACATCATCTGGCGACTGTGCAGCGGATTGCAGGGCGCCTCTGTGAGCACTATAGGATGTTCAACGCTGCCCTAAAGATGGTAGAGAACGGAGAGAAACCACATCATATGTGGTTGAAGGAGCAACTATCTAGTTAGCTACCTTTGTCAGTAAGTTATATTCAAGACTGAGAAGGTAGAACGGTCTAAACAGGGCAAGCAACATAGGAAATTGTGCAACATAACTTGAACACTTACCTCAGTGCCAACTCCGAGGTGGCTGAATATGTAATCGAACATCAGTTCCTGTATCTCGAAGTTTACAACCACATTTCGGTCAAACTGGCTTTTCAGGAGCCATCGCACGGGCTCGAGGTTGGAGATGTCATTGCCGATTTGGGTTTCACTTCGCGCTGCCCCTCTGCTCCTTGCCGCCACGGACTTGAACAGAAGCCGCGGAGCGCCTAGTTCGTCCCCTTTGCATGCCCAACCTGCCCTTGTTTGAAAAGAGCCGTTATCTATTATTATCGGAACTGGTGATGGTTGTAAGCATTCGGCAGCAATCTCGAAAATCGGATCGGGAGATGATTTGTAGTCTTGAAATGAAAATATTTTGCATGTTGTTTCTGTTTTAGGAAGTCATTTTGAAAGGGTGTTACTACAAAATATGGCCGACTAGAAAGTTTGTACCAGAACCTAAGAGTTCCGCGTAGCTCTCAGAACGCTTTGACATGTAACAATTATTAAAGGGGCAGTCAGCAGTTGCTACATACCTGTTTTTGACTTTACCAATTGATTCTTAAAGAATATAACTTATAAATGCCTCATGAGCTTAGTTTAACTGTTGTACCCCATCAGAACCCAAAATATAAGCTTGTTTTACTCCAAAGTTTGTAAACAAAGTAAATGTAAACAAACACTGTATAGCATCAAAACATGGTTAAAACTATACTTTTGATATCATTGATGGTTAGTCCATGCATCCATAGTCCTGTCTATGAATTTGAGAGTGATTACATTTCTCCAGCCCCATCCCTCAGCTTTCTACCGAAACAGTGGCAGGGTACCACTTTGTTATTGTTTCAAATGCTGATTGGCCCTTTAAGGTGAAGACAGTTCAATGTTAAAATATGTATATATTACATCCTCTATTATAGTAGATCCCCTAACAACTACTGTTATATGACTATTTAATTATTAATTGTGTAGCCTACTTCCTGGCATTTTGATTTAGTTTTTTATATGGATAGCTTAATTTATCTACAGCAGGCCTTTTTATTGTTGCCTCTATCTCCAGAACAGGTTAATTTGAGTACAGCCTGTGTGTGATAACCAATTATGTATATAAACCCTGGATTACTGATGATATCTATTGGCCATTGAGAGGCTTTGAAGCCACAAGTCGGCCATATTGGCACTCCCCAGTAGGAGCAGTCCCTCCATAGGAATGAATGGAATTCTACAGTATTTCAATTAAATGTTTCAAGGACAAAATTACATGTATTTAAGTATGTTTGTTGTTGGAGCGGGAACAGTAACATTATCAATCTTTAAAAAGTATACTTTAAGGGAAATGTTTTTATGTGTTTTTCGTTATTTTTTGTATGTTTAAGGTAACATAATATAATTTAAAAGTATGCATTAGTTGTCTGTCATAGAATACATGTGGCAAAAACGAATGTAGACATTAATAAATGCATTTCTTTAGCTTCCTAAATATTTTTTACAACGGTGGGGGAGTGCCAAGATGGAGGCAGGGTGGCTTCAACACAGCGCTCCCTATCAGTCATCTAGTGTTTATAAATTATTGGTGATAACCTACTGTATGACCCATAACATTTTTACAGTAGGCCTAATGCATTAAAGACCACTGCCATGAATGAGTGTCTACCACCAGAGGGGGCAATGAAAGCTGGTCTGCTGCATTTGAGTGTGTCTGAATGAATAAGCATCAAACAATGCATGAATTCCTCTTTTGGACATTCAGAATTAAGTCCAGGTAGACATGATGAGCTCCTCCTATCAATCTATTCTTATGTTGATATAATATACTATCCCTATCAACCCCATTTCTGAAAAGGCCTTTATTTATTCTGGTCTGCCACTGGCGGTATGACTGTCAATTGACTAGGCAAAGTGAAGCCTCAGCTGGTGATATAGGGCACCCTTGGCACTGAAAATAGACACCTATCACTCCAATGGTAAGGGGTCAGATGAAGATCATCTATCGTTCTACCCTTCTGAATCAGCATCAGCCCATATACCATGCTGCATCCTTTCAGCAATACTGTATCATGAGCTAGTCATCAAGAGGAGTACTTCGCATTCACCTATGCATTTTCCATGCCACCATTGTTCTAAAACCACAGAATTATGCTCAAGGGTCTTACCTATCAGAGCATGCTTGCATCATAATATAATTTAATTTAGAGACAACAGGCATATTCCCTGTGCAATCAAACAAATAGTGGATACATTTCATATTTACTTCATGCCAGGGACTTGATTGGTGGTATACCACAGATTTGGGAGGAGGGAAGGCTGTAGCTTGATGTTGTGCCATTGAATCAGAGGCACAGTTCACTGCTCAGGCACAAAGCTCTAAGAGAGGCGGTCTGCTCTTATGCTACTGAGCAGATCTAGGTCATCTCCCACATAGGCTCCCAGAAGGCAAGACGTGACATTGTACCGCTGTCCCTAACACGGGGAGCCCTTGCTTGTTGTGCATGTCATACCGTGATGAGCAGAGGAATTAATAGGCTACAACCGCTTTGGGATGGCCATGATGCAGCTCCTCCATTTTGTCAAAGCAGAAGACTGGTTTTCAGTGGCAGGAGGGGCACAGGGTAGAGAGATCCTAATTAGCTTGTCATCAGCTGTCATATTCAATTGTTCCTGCAAGACTCAATAATTACATTTCTTGTGTTATTGTCATGTTACTACACTGTTAATATTATCAGTATTATAATTTAGTTGCGGTAGTAGAATAGCAATAGCAGTAATAGCTAAAATATTCATTTTCCTTCTGCAACTCTTTCTGCCCAGATCATGAGATGAAATGGTGAAATGTCAGTTTGAATCTTTGTGCATGCAGGACTGGTGAAATAAAAAGAGAAAACCTCCAACTATCTGTGACATAAATGAATGAGGGGAAGGGAACACAGTTTACATAATAGGGTGAGGCTTGCATGGAGATTCCAACTGCTGCCTCTGATGTCAGAGCCACAGCAGTAAACCAAACGTCCCGCAACCCCTAAACAATCCCCCAACCCCTCGCCCCCTCACACACAGAGACTGTCACTACCACTCTCCTCAGTATGAAGCCCTGTAAGCATAACATATATGTTTAGGCCATAGAGTAATTAATATGTTTATGCACCTGTCACTTTGCATGCATCCCTGGCTGTGTAGTGTCTGTGTGTATACGTATAAGTTGTGTTCATGTTTCATAGTGGATCCAAGGAAATAATTCAAATTCCTCAGCGTGTGTGTCTGTATGTTTATTTATTCCTATGTGAATTGCATGTCCTTGTCAACCATTTTGTATAAGCAGCAGATTGCAGTTTTCTATTCTAAACAAAAATGCTCTGTTTTGTCTCAATCCAGGACCCTATCTTTTTTTCTTAGATCCCTCCCTGTTGTTAGGGCTCTAGATTGGTTCGAGTGGCTTTCCTCTTCATCCAGTGGGGCTTTCAGACAGGCAACCTATGTTCCTTTGAGTCTTGCCACCCAATTATTGTGGCCATGGCAACTATCTGAGACTATTGCCCCCAGTTGGCTGTTAGCGGGTTATAAGCCTACAGTATCTCTCCCCCTTCAGACATCCCTCTCTCATCTTTGCTGAATTAATCCTCGCCTCTGTAACCCAAAGCTAAATTGGTCATCACAGCAACCAATTTGATGCCATCTCAGTAATAATACATCTGAAAATCAATTTCTTCTGAAGTTCCAAATGTGCAAACACAGATAGAGAACAAAATGTTTTTGTGTCTGGATTAGTTTGCACATTTCACTGAATTCAAAACCATGTTCCATTATGAAGGTGCAGTTGCTGTTAATGTGAATCCAGTTGGGGGGATGGTGTGTGTATGTGTGTATGTGTGTGTATGACATTTGCAGCCTATCCTCTGTCCCAGCATTAGCCCAGGGTTTTGCACATGATGGGGGAGGGAGGCTTAGTCACTGAAATGCCCCAAGGACTCTCCCGGGAATATTATTTCCTCGCTGTCCTCCACTAAACACACACACACACGTGCCTCCACCCACATATAGATATTAGCCCTATCTCACAAGGATGGGTGAGCCACACACACACACACACACTGTGCATGCCTGAACACAAATGGCAGCATGGCAAAGCAGCCTATGCCAAGCATGAAAATATGTGGAGCTTTCTCTGTCCTCTGGGTTGATGCTAAATTTAGAGCTTTCTTCTTTCACGTTTTTGTCTCTTTTTGTATTTCACCAATGCACAATTCAACACGACTAAAATGGCAGTTCTGTCGTTCCTTAATGTTCATAATATATTCCAACAGAAGGAAAGATTATAAATGCTTTGAAGTCCTCCTCTTCAACCCTGTGCCAGAGCACATTTAGCATACGCAGGCACCAAAACCTGATGACAGTAATATTGTAATGCGTCGTGACATGTCGGAACCGATTACGAGGGAAATTATGAGGTGCCTCTTATCATCTGAGGGATTACAGTTGGAGGCATCAAATGTTTCAGAGATTTAGCCTATTCTTCTACATTTTCTTACATATTTCTGCACTTTATTGTCATATCGTAATTTGGGAGTTCTAAAGCAGACGCACATGACACAGACTAAAATGCCATGCCTATTCCAGACAACCGACATAACATATTAGCCATTTGGATTCCAGGCCAAATTTATAGTTTACCTAACCATGAGGAATTTAGTCATTCTGAGTAGGCTACATTGGAAATATAATGTAAAACTACAGGGGACATTTAAAATGTATTACAGACAGTTTATATCAAACATGCGCAAATGCAAGGCGCTAGTCTGGGTGGGCCTACCAGTCTTTTTAGCTAACATTCCACTACTTGTAGCCTACTCTTTGGCATATGACACCGAAGTAGTCAGTGGAATGTTAGCTAAAAAGAATGGTACTAGCGAGGGGCGGCAGGTAGCTTAGTGGGTAAGAGCGTTGTGCCAGTAACCGAAAGGTCGCTGGTTCTAATCCCCGAGCCGACTAGGTGAAAAATCTGTCGATGTGCCCTTAAGCAAGGCACTTAACCCTAATTGCTCATGTAAGTCGCTCTGGATAAGAGCGTCTGCTAAATGACTAAAATGTAATATGTAAATGCACTGTTCAAGGTTCTGCAATGCTAAAACGAGTAGAATTTTCTCATGACGATGCACGCAGGTCGTGAACTCTAATTTAGCAGCTGAAAAAACATGGCATTCATTACATTTTAAGTATCGAAGAACAGGTGAAGCAGGTAGTAAGTAGCCTATTATCAATTAAAATGCTCGGACAACAAATAAGAGACAATATAAAAAAAAGTTTTGTTTTGATATAAATTAGGCTACATTAATATATATTTTTTAAGTGCATTGGCTACTTTGGTCAAAGGGGCATGAAACATAACTCTGGATCCAAATTCGTATAGCAAATAAGCTAAAATACAAAAATAAATAATCAAATGAATATGCTAGGCCTAGGCCTATTGACGGGTTAGAGCTACGAATTTGATATTTAAATATTTTATATTTACTCAGTAAACATTAAAGTGATTTTACACCTCTGATATTTGTTTTTGCATTACGAAAAAAAGACAAAGACAGAGCGTGTGTGAGATATTAGGCATATGAATGGTGCGCAGTGTAACTCGCTAATTTCTGATTTTGAAACGAACATGTGTGTCTGCAATTATAAACTAGACTTATATGAAACTGATATTACCTCTGCCTGATCAATACAATCATAACTAAAAATATTGGAACAAATTATTAATCAAATTTAAAAACAAATTTACAAAAAATAGAATTTTTAGGCCTAATCAAATGTGCAAAATTTGCTTAATCGAATAAAGTAAAATATTTTGTATAAATGAAGCGTAAGAGCTAGCATCCATGCCATGGTAACGAAATACTACACCCCTTCCTCCTTCCAAAATCTCAAAGTAATCTCTCTCTCTCTCTCTCTCTCTCTCTCTCTCTCTCTCTCTCTCTCGCTCTCTCTCTCTCTCACACACACACATACACACACACACACACCGCTTCAGAACCATGAGGGGTTTGTGCATGCTGAGCAAGTCATTGCATTGGCAGTCTATGAGGACACGTGCCTAGTCCCCCTCTAAGATACCACGGCTCATGGTTTGCACTTGTCACCGCTGCCGCAAAGCTGAGTGCTGCATCAAGACTAACACGGACAACTACATGGAGAGGTTAAGCAGTTTAGAAGAAGCAACTTGATCAATTTGAATTAGGAGGAATTGTTTTGCTTCGTTTCTTCTGATGCCAAGTAAGTGACAGGAGGGATTTGAGAGTGACATGGATAATCAAGACCAACAGACGGCATTTTAACGACAGCCTGTGTGGATGTAACGGTTGGACAGCCGTTAAGAGCAACGTCGAAACGTCTTGGCAACAGGCATGGTTATCTTTCTCTCACAGCAGCAGCAGCAGCCAAAATAGCTAATAACCACACTGCATGTATTTATTCAACAATTTTCATATTTGATCCAATTGATATCTGAAGATTCACATTTAACTCATAACAATGGCTCACTTAATTCGACACAAGATCGGCAACAAGCTGACCAATGCGGCCAACACAGTGTCCAATAAGTCGCAGGCCAAGGTCAGCGGAGTGTTCGCCAGGCTGGGCTTCCAGGCCGCTACGGATGAAGAGGGTCTGGGGTTCGTGGACTGCGATGACTTGGATTATGACTACAGGCAGGGGATGCAGATGGACATCATGCAGGGCGACGAGGAAGGGGGAGAGATGGACGGAGGAGACGAGTTGATGGAGGGGGACAGCCACTACCAGAGAGATGGCACCGGCCCATCATCCTCCTCCCTCAAGAACACTGGGGCATGTAACGAGTTGGCATCAGAGGTCAAACCCAAAATTACCTCTTGGGAAGCGGGGTGGAACGTCACCAATGCCATTCAGGTAGAAATCATTTTAAGAAAGACATGAACATATTGTTACTGTGTCAATGTAGGCCTATTGTCAATAATCGCCTTGGAATATACGCCCATTCAAATCATTTCAGAGCACAATGCATTACGCTATATAATTCAGGGGACACCAATTTCCATTCTACAAAAAACTGAAAGACCATTAAAATGACTATAATTTTTGACATGTAAAAATAGACTTTCATTTATTTCTTCCAGATAAATGAATTGGCCAATTTTATGGCTTCTTATTTCAAAATCCCTAACTTAAAACAAATGTTTCCTAAATATATATATTTTAAACATAAATAATGGCATTTGCCTTCATTTCATCAGACGAGGATGTCAATTAAATACGAAGCATTTGAGATTTTAAAGGAAAATAGGGATCTATTCTAGATAGCCTATTTCTTATCAGTAAAAAACAGACCCAACTCCATCTGGAATGAATAAAATGGTTTGGATTAGCCTCAGGCACAATTAGGGCCACTTCATTATTCTTGATAACATTTTACAGTGGATTATATAAACTAAATCCAGTCTTGGTGAGAAAATATCTTAGTTTTTAAATTTTAAAATTAATATTAATATTGACAAAAAGAAGCATAGTTTCAAATCAAATTCTGAGCCTGCACGCTATAGTGGTCTGACAGACCTATACTTTTCTCTCAACTCCAATCGTTAAATTAGGGTTTTCACACATTTATCCATATGATTATGCAAATAAATGTTGTTTGTTATAATTATGCAACTTTTAATGTGATTCATTTCTTGAATATGTGGGGCGGGGAGCCTGTCACTGATTAGACCATGACCATTAAGACTCAACTGTGCTTGTGTATCCGCAGGGGATGTTCGTCCTTGGGTTACCCTACGCCATTCTTCACGGAGGATACCTCGGACTCTTTCTCATCATATTTGCCGCTGTTGTATGTTGTTACACCGGAAAGATTCTTATTGCGTGTCTGTATGAAGAGAACGAGGATGGAATTCTGGTACGCGTGAGGGACTCCTACGTGGACATCGCCAACGCGTGCTGCCAGCCACGGTTCCCGTCTCTGGGCGGGCATATCGTTAACGTTGCTCAGATCATTGAGTTGGTCATGACCTGTATCCTGTACGTGGTGGTCAGTGGCAACCTGATGGTCAACAGCTTCCCCAATCTGCCGGTCTCGCAGAAGGCCTGGTCTGTAGTCGCCACGGCCGCCCTCCTGCCTTGCGCGTTCCTCAAGAGCCTCAAGGCCGTGTCCAAGTTCAGCTTGCTCTGCACTATCGCGCACTTCGTCATCAACATTCTGGTAATAGCCTACTGCCTCTCCAGAGCCCGCGACTGGGCCTGGGACAAAGTCAAGTTCTATATTGATGTCAAGAAGTTCCCAATCTCCATCGGCATCATCGTCTTCAGCTACACGTCCCAGATCTTCCTGCCCTCGCTGGAGGGGAACATGCAGAGGCCAAGCGAGTTCCACTGCATGATGGACTGGACCCACATCGGAGCCTGCATCCTGAAGGGCCTGTTCGCTCTGGTGGCCTACTTGACTTGGGCAGATGCCACCAAAGAGGTCATCACGGACAACCTGCCATCCACCATCAGAGCGGTGGTCAACCTGTTCCTTGTGGCTAAGGCCTTGCTGTCATATCCGCTGCCATTCTTCGCTGCTGTAGAGGTCTTGGAGAAGTCTTTTTTCCAGGATGGAGGGCGCGCTATTTTCCCTGACTGTTATGGGCCGGGAGGAAGGATTAAGTCCTGGGGACTGGGCCTCCGGTGCCTCCTGGTGGTGTTCACGTTGATAATGGCCATATTTGTCCCTCACTTCGCACTCCTCATGGGCCTCACCGGGAGTCTTACCGGCGCCGGGTTGTGCTTCCTTCTCCCGGCCCTCTTTCATCTAAAGCTGATGTGGAGGAAACTCTTATGGCACCACGTGTTCTTCGACGTCGCCATATTCGTCATAGGGGGCATATGCAGCATTTCTGGATTTATTCACTCAGTAGAGGGGCTCATCGAGGCATTCAAATATGGAGTCGAAGAATAAGAACGTTATACCTCTGTAGCCCGTACCTTCAATTTGGTCATACTTTCATTAATCATCGGCGCGTAATGACAGACTGGTTGACAGCTCATAAGGGATACTGTGTAATTGTTTTACTTCGTTTTTTTGCCTTCGTGATGGCAATGTGCAATAATAAACTTTACAATCATAGTGTACAGTATTCAGTACTGAAATGTTGTGTTAACTTGGAAGGGGGTAATGCAGTGTCCTTGGAGAATAGATCATCTCTGAAGCATTGAATATCATGCATGGTTTGATCAGGCAAGGTTAGCACAACCCATGTGAAAATGAGCTGTGTATAGGCCTCACCTATGTGTGGATGTGTTGATATCTGCATTGAGAATTAGTTTCTTTATGAACATTGAAAAAAATAAGACAATTAGCATTTTATTATCGGTTCCTAGCTGCTAAATAGTTATATAACAATCTCATGCCAGATTATGTAGATTTAAAGATAAAACACGCTCGGGGCACCCACGTGGGATGGAGCTATATAAGGAATAAACATATAAGGAACTCATATGTAGTTGAATAATCAAAACATTTCGATTAGTTTTCAACTGTACTTGGTTTTTGGTGTTTCAAGTGTCATTATGGATGAAGTGAATTATTGCAGTGCAAGCAAGTGGCTCTTTGTGTTTATATGAAACGATCTTTCTTCTGTAGTCTACCTATCTGTTGAACGTTAATTGTGCTTTCATTGAATTAATCATGACGTGTAAGAAACGAGTATGTGTTGAATCAATAGAGAAATAAATCGAATATTTTATGCATTATGTTCATATCTTTGGATTCATTATATGTCTGGAATTTGTGCACGTTCATGTTTGTGCGAAAAAAGTATCTATGGGTGAATAAAATCAATGTTTTTATGGATGAATATAGTCCGTTTTGGGGATTCTGTAAAACGGTCAAAAGGAAGCAGAGTCTATGGAATAGGAATGCGGAATGTGGTGTGGAGGAGGATTTTACAAATGATCATAGGCTTACTCACCTCACCTGCACATGTGCATTATCTGCCTATATGCTAAGACTCAACATACATTCTCATTTTCAAAATGTACTTAAATCATTTTGTAGCCATATAAATTAAGCATAACAAATATTATTTGAAATACACCATGACATTATTCTGCACTGTAAAAAGCACCACCTCTTTCAGTTCCTTATTTGCAAGTTACAGTAGTAACAATTATTCTCAGAATGTTCTGATATGGGTCCCACACTCTTATAACTAGGGGCCAGCATTGGATACTTTGGGGACCTCAGTGGACCCCAAGAAATCATCAGCATATATTTAATACAATAATTAAAAGATATTCCCCCAGATAGCATATGATAGCAAAATGTGTAGAATTGCAGGAAATTAGCTTTACAACTGCAAAAATGTATCTCAGCCTCATGTCAAAAGGTGTAGAATTACAGGAAATTAGCTTTAAAACTGGAACATTTTCTCTCAGCCTCATGGCAAAATGTGAACAAAAGCATGAGATGAGCTATTAAATAGGACATCTTTTTCTCTTCTCCATTGCAAAAAGTGTAGAATTTCAGGAAATTATATTTAAAACTGTGACATTTTCTCTTAGCCTTATGACAAAATGTGTTGAAATAGAGTAAGTTAGCTGAGGTCGGTTCCCCGGGGCCCCAAATGCGGTAGTCCGGCCCTGAAGACAATGAGGAGAGGAATGCCTTATTTCATAGTACATTTTCTATGAGCCTTCTCCTGATTCTATTAAGCACTGCTATTGAAAAGTGTAATATTATAAAGCAGACAAAAGAAAGTACATAAAAGTCGTCAGACATGGAGAGTATGGTTTCCTGTTTTTCACACTCTACTTAGCAATCGTATACATTTGGAAAGTTTTCAGACTTTTTCCACATTTGGTTACGTTACAGCCTTTCCTCATCAATATACACACAATACCCCATAATGACAAAGCGAAAACAGTTTATTGTTTTTGTGCAAATTTATAAGAAATAAAAAACAGAAATACCTTATTTACATAAGTATACAGACCCTTTGTTATGAGACTCGAAATTGAGCTCAGGTGCATCCTGTTTCCATTGATCATCCTTGAGATGTTTCTACAACTTGACTGGAGTCCACCTGTGTTAAATTACATTAATTGGACATGATTTGGAAAGGCACACACCTGTCTATATAAGGTCCCACAGTTGACAGTGCATGTCAGAGCAAAAACCAAGCCATGAGGTCGAAGGAATTGCTCCGAGACAGGATTGAGTCAAGGCATAGATCTGGGGAAGGGTATCAAAAAATGTCTGCAGCATTGAAGGTCCCCAAGAACACAGTGGCCTCCATCATTCTTAAATGGAAGAAGTTTGGAACCTCCAAGACTCGACCTAGAGCTGGCTGCAATCGGAGGGGAAGGGCCTTGGTCAGAGGGGTGACAAAGAACCAGAAAGGTCACTCTGACAGAGCTGCAGAGTTCCTCTGTGGAGATGGGAGAACCTTCCGGAAGGACAACCATTTCTGCAGCACTCCACCAATTAAGCATTTATGGTAGAGTGGCCAGACGGAAGCCACTCCTCAGTAAAAGGTATATGACAGCCCGCTTGGAGTTTGCCAAAAGGCACCTAAAGGACTCTCAGACCATGAGAAACAAGATTCTCTGGTCTGATTAAACAAAGATTAAACTCTTTGGCCTTAATGCCAAGCGTCACGTCTGGAGGAAACCTGGCACCATCCCTACGGTGAGGCATGGTGGTGGCAGCATCATGCTGTGGGGATGTTTTTCAGCGGCAGGGACTGGGAGGCTAGCCAGGATCGAGGGAAAGATGAACGGAGCAAAGTACAGAGAGATCCTTGATGAAAACCTGCTCCAGAGCGCTCAGGTCCTCAGACTGTGGCGAAGGTTCACCTTCCAACAGGACAACAACCCTAAGGACACATCCAAGACAACACAGGAGTAGCTTTGGGACAAGTCTCTGAATATCCTTGAGTGGCCCCGCCAGAGCCCGGACTTGAACCCGATCAAACATCTCTGGAAAGACCTGAAAATAGCTGTCCAGCGATGCTCTCCATCCAACCTGACAGAGCTTGAGACGATCTGCAGAGAAGAATGGGAGAAACTCCCCAAATACAGGTGTGCCAAGCTTGTAGCGTCATACCCAAGAAGACTTGAGGCTGTAATCGCTGCCGAAGGTGCTTCAACAAAGTACTGAGTAAAGGGTCTGAATACTTATGTAAATGTGATATTTCAGTTTTATATTTTTAATAAATTTGCAAACATTTCTAAAAACTAGTTTCTACATTGTCATTATGGGGTATTGTGTGTAGATGGATGAAGAAAAATCCATTTTAGAATAAGGCTGTAACGTAACAAAATGTGGAAAATGTCAAGGGGTCTGAATACTTTCCGAATGCACTGTACCTCCCCTCTCACCAAAGCGGATAGATGTTCAGCAGTTTCACTTTACAATGAAACGTGAAGCTATGATCCTTTATTGATGTCACCTGTTAAATCCACTTCAATCAGTGTAGATGAAGGGGATTAGACAGGTTAAACAAGGATTTTTAAGCCTTGAGACACTTGAGACATGGATTATGTATGTGTGCCATTCATGGTGAATGGGCAAGACAGAAGATTTAAGTGCCTTTGAATGGGGTATGATAGTAGTTGCGAGGCGCACCGGTATTAGTGTGTCAAGAACTGCAGTACTGCTGGATTTTTCATGCTCAACAGTTTCCCGTGTGTATCAAGAATAGTCCATTGGAGTCAACATGGGCCAACATCCCCGTGGAACGCTTTCGACATCTTGGCTGTTCTGAGGGCAAAAAGGTGTGCAACTCAGTATTAGGAAGATGTTCAGTGTATAAATATCACATAATTTAATCGCAGTGTGAGTCCCAAATCAGAACTACAACCATCTAGACTAGAGCTAGGAATCAATTTAGGTAAATTCTTCATTGCAGTTTACATGCATCAGTGCCTTCAGAAAGTATTCACACCCCTTGACTTTTTCCACATTTTGTTGTGTTACAGCCTGCATTTAACATGGATTAAATATAGTTTTTTGTCGCTAGCTTACACACAATATCCATAATGTCAAAGTGGAATTATGTTCATCAACTTTTTTTTTACAAATGAATAAAAATATGAAAAGCTGAAATGTCTTGAGTCAATAAGTATTCAACCCTTTTGTTATGGCAAGCCTAAATAAGTTCAGGAGTAAATATGTGCTTAACAAGTCACATTATATTTTACATGGACTCTGTGTGCAATAATAGTGTTAAACATGATTTTTGAATGACTACCTCATCTCTGTATCCCACACATGCTATTATCTGTAAGGTCCATCAGTCGAGCAGTGAATTTCAAACACAGATTCAACCACAAAGACCAGGGAGGTTTTCCAATGCCTCGCAAAGAAGGGAACCTATTGCAAGATGGGTAAAAATAAAAAAGCAAACCTTGAATATCCCTTTGAGCATGGTAAAGTTATTAATTACATTTTGGATGGTGTATCAATACACCCAGTCACTACAAAGATAGAGGCGTCCTTCCTAACTCAGTTGCCGGAGAGGAAGGATACCGCTCAGGGATTTCACCATTAGGGCCAATGGTGACTTCAAAACAGTTACAGAGTTTAATGGCTGTGATAGGAAAAAACTGAGGATGAATAAACAACATTATAATTACTCCACAATACTAACCTAATTGACAGAGTGTAAAGAAGGAAGCCTGTACAGAATAAAAATATTCCAAAACATGCATCCTGTTTGCAACAAGGCACCAAAGTAATACTGCAAAAAAATGGGGCAAAGCAATTACATTCTTCTCCTGTATACAAAGTGCTATGTTTGGGGCTAATCCAATACAACACATTACTGAGTACCACCTTCTATATTTTCAAGCATATTGGTAGCTGCATCATGGGTATGCTTTGCTTGTAATCGTTAAGGACTGGGGAGTTTTTCAGGATAAAAAATAAACAGAATGGAGCTAAGCACAGGCAAAATC